TGTGTGTGTGTGTGTGTGTGTGTGTGTGTGTGTGTGTGTGTGTCTCCGTGTGCGTGCATGTCTGTCTGTATGTGTGTGTGTGTCTCTGTCCGTGTGTGTGTCTCTGTCTGTGTGTGTGTCTCTCTGTGTGTGTGTGTGTGTCTGTGTGTGTGTGTGTGTATGTCTGTCTGTATGTGTCTCTGTGCGTGTATGTCTGTGTGTGTGTGTGTGTCTCTGTGTGTGTATGTCTGTCTGTGTGTGTGTATATGTCTGTCTCTGTGTGTGTGTGTGTGTGTGTGTGTGTTTGTGTGTGTGTGTATGTCTCTGTGTGTGTGTGTGTGTGTAGCTGCATCAGGCCTGTGAGGGCGCGGCCCTTCGTGGATCCCGAGTTATCTCAGCGGAGGACATCCTGTTCCTGATGCGGCGGGACAAGGTGAGTTTGGGTAATGGAGGCTGATTGGGGTTTCCACGGCAACGATCCCCAACTCTCCGCCTCGCCCCCTGAGCAGAGGAAGATGGCGCGGCTGCTGAAGTACCTCCAGTTCAGGGACTACAAATCCAAGCTGCTCAAGTCGTTGGAGGACGAGGATCCTCAGGTGGAACCAGGTAACCATGGCAACCCGCCAGAGATCAGACAATTACACCAAAGCAAAGCAGATACTCAGGAAAATATTCGATACCATTTTCGATACCCCAAAATTTAACTGGATTTTGACAGGTTAGTGGATTTAGTTCCAAACTGACCTGTTACTGATGTCATTAATGACCCTAACCCTAACCCTCCAGCCTTCATAATTGTGAGAAATAAATATTTTTTGGTTAAATTTGTTTGGACTTATTGTACAAACCTATTTAACATCCACTATTTTAACATAATATTATGTATAGAGTTAAATTAAGTGTTAGCAAGATTAATTTCACTATTTTTAAATTAATGTCTATATTGCCATGAAGCAATTAGGATTTTCTTGCCTGGGATCTTCCTGTTGGTGACCTAATCAAAATGGCCGACTTGGATGTGGGGGGGTTGGATATCCATCCTTGGCTTCCTGCTGACTTGATTAATGTTGGCGTGTTGTTATTAGCCATTAGCCGCAGCTAGCAATTCAAGGCTAACGTCCCGTTAATGATCATAAACAACGTAAATAAAGAGAGATCGATACTTTTGAAAATGAGTATTGTATCCGGATACGACATTTTAGTATCTATACTTTTGACAGGTTCCTCCGGGCAGCGGCGGCAGCGGCTGCTGCAGGACTTCCTGTCCTGGATGGATCAGACCGGAGAGCTGCTCTCATTGGCCGAGCGGCCGGAGCTCGACCCAATCAAGCAGGAGAGGCTGGAGGTCAGAGGTCACCGGGCAAACCCCCCCACCCCCACATCCCCCCAATCCCCCTTATCCAATGCTCAGAGTGAGGGAGGTTGTTCACGCTGCTCTGTGTGTGTGTGTGTCTGTGTGTGTGTTTGTGTCTGTGTGTGTGTGTGTGTGTGTCTGTGTGTGTCTGTGTGTGTGTGTGTGTGTGTGTGTGTGTGTGTGTCCAGCGGATAGAGCGCCGGACGCAGAATATGGACCAGTCTCAGTACGCCGAGTTCTGCGAGAGCCGGCAGCTCAGCTTCGGTGAGATTTCCTCCTCTGCTCCCGTTAGACCTCAGGTCTGATCTAAGATTTCATTTTGTTTTTGTCCTCTCTGGAGAGCCAGAGCCAGTTCTGAATGAATTAAAATTTTCTAATGAGCCGAAAATGTAAACACACCTTAATCATCAGAAATGATCACTATTAAACAAGGAAGAAAAAATGTAAACACACATTATCACTATTAAGAAAAAAATGTAAAAACACCTTAATTATCAGAAATTACCACAGTTAAACATAGAGGAAAAAATGTAAACACACCTTAATAATCAGAAATTACCACAGTTAAACATAGAGGAAAAAATGTAAACACACCTTAATAATCTGAAATTATCACAGTTAAACATAGAGGAAAAAATGTAAACACACCTTAATTATTAGAAATGATCACTATTAAAAAAAGAAGAAAAAATGTAAACACCTAAATGTTAAAAAATTATCACTATTAAAAAAATAAATAAAAAAATGTAAACACATTAATTCTAAAAGATAACACTAATAAAAAAAAAAAGAAAAAAAAATGTAAACACACCTAAATCATCAGAAATGATCACTATTAAACAAAGAAAAACATGTAAGAAAGTGGCTGTTTTGCTGTTTTATAACAGGAGTGGAGGGCTGGCGTCTCCATGGAGACGAGCAGCTGAAGATCCAGCTGTGTGGAACATCTGGGGCAGAATTGTGAAACACTTTTGGACCCCTGAACTCTTTGGTTTTGTGTTGCAGCGAAGAAAGCCTCCAAGTTCCGGGACTGGCTGGACTGCAGCAGCCTGGAGCTGAAACCCAACAGCGTCGCCATGGAGATCCTGTCCTACCTGGCCTACGAAACGGTCGCCCAGGTAACCACCCCCCAGCCTGGAAAGTTTCAGTGATGCCAAATCGTAGCTTTTTCTGCTCGTCGTTGCATATTTTACTGATTAAATAAATGATAGAAAACATATTTATTAAGTAGGAATAAGGTCTTAGCTCTGTTACACTGGTATCCAAGTAATCAACATTTCGTTGTCAAGATTCACCTTGTGTCTTTTGTACAATGACAATAAAGGAAGTCTAAGTCTAAGTTTAAGTCTAAGTCTAGCCTCTAATGCCTGTGGCTTATTTAGGATGTTTGGCCCATTTCTGGCCGGGTTTTATGGACAGACTTTGTTCTCCCTCTCCTCAGATTGTGGATTTGTCCCTGCTCATAAAGCAGGAAATGGCAGCTAAGACGGATCCGGTCAGTCATGTGATCTCTGCCAGCTACCTCCACTACAGCACACACACCGAGGTACACACACACACACACACAGACACACACACAGACACACACACA